TTTTAATATTTTTTTTAAGTCTGAAATTTTAATTTAATAACGATTTTATAGATACTTATATTTGGATCTTCTTGAGTTCAATATTTATAGAGCAATGAAATATTAATGGAAAAGTTAAATCCTTAGAAAAAAAATAAAATGTGCTTTGCAAATCCAATTAAATTTTTAATGCATAGGCATTTTGAAAAAACAAAAGTATATGCATTAATAATTTTACATAATTTTTTTCAAAAGTGTTTTTATTTTTTTAAGTTTTTTCCAAAAACTTTTCTAACATTTTTTTTAATTTTCAAAAAAAATTGGAAAGAAATTTTTCTCCCAAACATTGTGAAAAATACTTTAATATTACAGTTTTTTCTTAATTGAAATACAGTTGAATTTCCTTAACTCGAATCGCCCTATTCCACAAAAAAACTTCGAGTTAGAGAGACTTTGACTTTCGGAGATACAGCCTTGAAAAATTGTGCACTTGATCGCAGCTAAGTCATTAAAAACTTTAAACACGTCTCGCTCGAAACTTTGTTTTCCAAGTCATTTTGTCATTTCATCATGAAAATATATACGATGCAACAACGAATCTCACTTATTAAAATTTGCTACCGTATCCGTAGTCAGTGGTCTAAACTTTAAGAGCGCTACGTTCAATTTATGGTCGTCCTAATCATCCTGTAAGATTAACAATTGAGCGTCTAGTGGAACAATTTTATTTTCAAGCGTTGGTCATCTTTGTGACGTCATTTTGGCGAATTTTGGGAAAAGATCTTGACCTACAAACTTTTGTAGCGCTGTTATTGTAAAACCCGTTACTATACAAAATTTATGTAAACGCTCTGGAAATAATTAGCTTTGCTTCAAAGGTAACTAAGGGCAGATGTCAACTCTATGTACATACATATAGACATTTATGTAGATGCTTTACGGTTATTAACAATAAATGAGTCAGAAAATGAAATAGCAATCTCCAATTGTAGGGAAACATTATTGTCATTAGTAAGATCACATAGAAAGACCTATCTACCAAATAAATATACAATATAATTATATGATTCTCGATATTAAAAATATTTCAAAACGGCGAGAGTATTTCTTCAACTTTTTTTATAGAGTTTTCGTGGCCTCTCCGCTATTCTATTTTTAATACCGGCACACTTCTTGAGATTTTCACACAATTTTGAAGATTATTTAGTTCATCTTTGATTAATCGAAAAGATAAATATTTATTTTCTTTGTCAAGTGCGGTGTCGTTTGCCTAAAAAGTCGATGCTATTAAAAAGGCTGGACGATTTAAGTTTTAGATATTCGACCACATACTCAATAGATCTGGGACTCGATGATACTTGAGACAAATAGACACTTGAAGCCCTTCACAAAAAGTGCAGTATTATAACTATTATCTCGCTTTAATAGAAAACGGAAACCTACCTATCAAAGAAGAAAAAGAAAGGCGAATTACTGTCAAAGTACTATAGTTCATCAAAGGAAAAAATATTGATCGTTATGTGAGTAAACACTTTTAGGAACACTCGGAGCAAGAAATGTTGTTTTTTTTTTTTTTGAAAATTAAAGCAATGAAATTTTGAAGTTACTGTATCTCCTTGAAGAAATGTATACTATATATTTATATCGGAAACATAGCGTTTTGAACCAGAGAGCCCCAGAGCATCCTATCAAACCCCATTTTATTCCGTATATTACTGTTATGACGCCACGATAACCCCGATGGTAAGTTTAAAATATTCAAAGGCGAATTAAGCTGCCTAATACAGTAAATTAAAGTAAGTTTTAGAAATGATTTTTACTCACCTTGCAGGACAAACATTCTTCGATTCTCTGCCATCAGCTCTGGGTGTGGCGACGCTTGGACTGGCGACATTCTTGCCGTTATCTTTCAATGCTTCGTTGTACTTGAAAAGACAGTTGGTAAGCGCCTCAATTAGATCGTGATTAGCTAGATTTTCTGCCTGCTTCGACTGCAACTTTTCGTTGGATTTGACTGAACTAGGTTCCGGCGCCTTTGCCGTTGTAGCCTTGCCGGCGTTGCCATCGCCATCGCTTGCGAGCGGTATCATCATATCGACGAACTCAGACTTGAGCATCGAGCACATTTGCCGCATTTGCGACTGCGCGTGTAATAGTCTCGCACCTGGCGTATGCGTATCACCACCAGCGCCAACGTCGTCAGCCTGGTAGAAGCCCATATTCGGTGTGGTGTGTGAGGGTTTAAGTGCTTGCTGCGCTGTGGCACGCACTTTCTGCGCATTACACGCCGCACTGGCTGAGCTGACGGTGCTGACACGTGTGCTGCGCGGTGTACGTGCCGAATTTGTAGGCGTGACAGAGGGAGCTGGTGGTGGAGAGTTCAGTGGGTTGCGGCGTTTCTTTAGCAATTTAGACTTCTCGGCATGCATGTCGGCGCGGCAGCTGGAGAGACTCTTGGCGCGCGTGGATAGAATGCCGCGACTTGTGGTGCGCAGCGGTGAGACGCGCGAAGACGGCAGCCGTGAGGTGCTGGCGCGTGAAGTGTGACGCGAAGAAAATGTGCTGCGCGCTTGTTGTTGCACTTGTGCTTGCAATTGCTTGCGCGTCAGCGGTTTTGGTGGCGGTAAGCTGGGTTGTTTCGGTTGTTGTTGTTGTTGGTGTTGTTTCTGTTTTTCCTGCAGCTTCAGTTCATCCTTGCGATCGAGTATTTTCTGCTGCTGCAACTGTTGTTGATGCAACTGCTGTTGTTGCTGTTGTTCGATAATGCAGCGCTGATGTTCCTCCAGTTGTTGTTGCAGTTGTTTTTGTAAATTGCTTGATTGTTTGAGAATTTGCTCGGCTGAAACTTTGTGGCTAATCGTCTGCGGCTCACAGCGCCGCTCATCGCGCTTGGCAAGTTGTTGTTGGCTGTGCAGCTTTTGTTCCTCATATACTTGTTGCAGCAGCAATTGTTGTTGTTGTTGTATGTGTGTATCGTAGTTTTCGGTGCGTTCACGCAACGCTTTCTGTTGCTGACGCTGCGGTTGTTGTTGCCGCATTTGCAGTTGCAGCAATTGTTTTTGTTGCTGCTGTTTGCTCAACATCAGCGGCTTGTAATGCATTTGTTGTTGTTGTCGTTGCTGTTGTTCAAGTTTTACCAACTGCTGCTGCTCGCTATTGTGTTGTTGCTGCTCTTTCTTGCTGTTGAGTAGTTTTTGTTGTAGTTGCTGTTGTTGCAATTGTTGTTGTTGTTGCTGCTCGTTCACCTTATTCTTGTCCGGCTTCATAGCAATCACAACATCAAAACTGCTCGAATTGCCCTCAAAACTCGCGAAATCCGAACCGCTCTCACTGGCAACATCGTCACCGTCGTCTCGGTTTCCGTCGCCAACGGCGTCAGCGTCGCCGTCACCAGCACTTTCGCCATCGCCGTTCTCGTCCAACTGGAAGCAATCAAACACAACAATTTTGCTGCCATTCATTTTAATGTTGCTACCGCTATTGTTGTTGTTGGTATTTATGTTGCCGCTCTTGTTCTTATTCTTGCCGGCATAGCCATCGCGGAAGTAGCGCACCGCATCGCTGTCCTCATTGGGCTCGCTACGTTCGGTTGCCTCGCTGGGGTCGGTCGGCGCGTCTCTGACTTGGTCATCATCCACAATATCGCCATCGTCAACACCATCGGCATTATCGTCATCTTCATCGATATCATCGTTGCCGTCGTTGGCATCGTCGTCGTTCTCAAATCCATCATCATCATAATAATTATCATCGTCATTATCGTCGGCGCTAAGCTCACCGATTGCCGTCTCGAAGGCATTCGCTGCACCGTCTGTGCCGCCGAAGAATGCGGCTGCCTCGTTGTTGCGTTTGGTCGATTCACAGTTCGACTGGCGATGCCGGTTACGCTGCCGTTCAGTTTGCTTGGACGCTTTCAACTCTACGGTCGTACGTCAGTCGTATTCGCAAGCGAGTTTGTTGGATTTCAATTATCGTGTATCGAGCGGGTTTTGTGTTTTCATATACATAAGTGTACGTATGTAGGTTTTGTGCATATGTAAGGCGTAGAGAATATAACAATTGCATATTAGTTAATGGAAATGCAAGAGCAAAAAACAATAACAAAAAATAGAAAAATTATGGTCATACCAAGTAATAGAAAATAATAATTAAAATAGTGAAAAGTGCGTGTTGTCACAAAATAATTATTTTCTAACAATTAGCGACTTGAAGCGATAAATAGGTACATGTTATGTACACATATGGTACATACTTAATTAATGTATTCGTGTAAATGTATGTGTATGCAAATTGGAGCCGCAAATCGATCAGCTGGCATTGTGTACAAACATATTACATTAATTTAAGACATTTTGTGCTTTTTCGCTTAATTGCTTTAAATTGTGTTTTAGGCAGCGTGTTCAAACTTTGAACTTCAAAGACGTTCAATGAAGAATATGGAAAGCGTTATTTTTTCGTGAACAAAAAAACAAAAAAATTAAAAAAAAAATTGTATGCCTAATTTGAGATATAAATATAACACAACATAGTTTAATTTTTTTTTCTTTTTTTGAGTTTCAAGCTTTTTTATTAAGCTTGCACCGGAAATTAAGCGTATTTTCTTGTGATCAAATTTGAACCGGACTGACAATAACTGCATTTTCATATAATTTCATACAAATCTGTGCTTGCTTTCAAAAATGACTCGAAAATAAAGCTTATTTCCTTGTGATCAAATTTGACCCGGAATGACAAAAATTTTCATATATTTTAATACAAATCTTGGTTTTCACTTAAAAAACACAATCGGAAATAAATCTTATTTCACTATGATCAAATTTGACCCGGACTGACAAAATAAAATACTTTTTCATATATGTATGTAACTTAATACAAATCTTTGTTATCGCTTTCAAAAGAGGTTCCTGAATAAATATATGGCAAAAGCTGCTAAAAAATTGTTTAGACATTACACCTTTTATATGGGGTATTTTCAAAAGGCACGATAATTTTGACAATTGCAGATCTTCAAAACCAGCGAAATTTTAACTTTCAGATTGCCGTTATTTTTTGAATACACCTCGAAAGTCTCGGCTGGGATGGGTTTAAAACTATTTTTGGAGCGCCATTCACTAGATAGTTAGTTGGACAGTATCGACGATATATTTAGAAACCTACATCTCGTCACCAGTAATGAAGCGTTTGATGAATTTAGGCTCCTCAGCTATGTTGTGTAGCATCCTCTGCTCAATGTTTTCCTTAAAAAGACTCAGATCTAGCATTGACACGCTTAATATCTGAAACAAGTCGATCCATAATAGACGGCAACACGATGTTTTTCAACCACTTGATACTAATTTTGGAGGAACAAAGCTACAGCATATTAGCGTACTATACATATGTACGCAATGTTTCTTTGATATCCTTATTAATGCTTTAACTATTATCAGAGTTGTAAAGTCAAATGGAGTGATGGAATAGGACCCACGAGGGGTTGGTTTCTTATTGAACAGGTCTTCTCTAACGATCTATATTTGAGTTTAAATTTTGTTTAGACCTTCAGTGCAATGAGCGTTATGGAATTGAAGCTAGATAAAGAATGACAAAAAAGTACCCAGAAGTTGTAAATAAAACGCAAAACATTTAATTATTCATCAATATTTTTCTTGTCACCCTCAAAGTAATCTCCACCAGATGTAAGCACTTATGCCAACGTGTTTTCCAGTCCTCGAAACACTTTTCATAAGCACTTTTCGGGACAGAATTCAGCTCTTTCAGTGAATTTTGTTTTATCTCTACGATTGACTGAAAACGGGTTCCACGGAATGGAGTCAGTAAGAAAAAATCACACGGAGCAAAAGCTGGTGAATACCGTGGTTGTTCGATGGTATTCATTGCGTTTGTGGCTTTAAATTCGGTGACTCTATGCGATGGTGCATTATTATAGTGTAAAATCCATGAATTGTTCTTCCACAATTTCGGGAATTATTGTCGGATATTCTCAATATGGCTAAATGGAATTATGTATTGACCGTCTGGCCCTCTGGCACAAATTCATGATGCGCCAAACCACGAATATTGAAAAAAATAATAATAATCACCTTGATTTTTGAGCGGCTTTGGCGTTTTTTTTTCGGCTCGTTTTCCCCTCCATTACGACGATTGTTGACTTCTTTGCATATAAAACTCATAAACGCATGTCCAATCGGCAGTTATCTTCATGAATGCAGGATTGAAATTTGCACGGTCAAGCATGCCCACAGAAATCTGTTTACGGTACCTTTTGTGAAAAAGTTTAGATTTATCGGGACGAGTCGAGCCAGAGCGTATTACCTGACGATTCTTAACCACTATGTCATTCACTTTGTTAAATATTTTCCTCAGTTGAAGAGGTCGAAGGTCGTTCAGAACGAGGCATGTCTTTAACGATCTCTCGACCGTTTTTGAAGGCTTTGCACCACGCGTAGGCTTGTGTTCTTCATAAAACTGAGAAACACCGTAAGTTTTTTCCAACATTCGAAACGACTTCGCACACGAAATTTGGTTAGAAATATGAAATTTGAGACAAATTCTTTGTTCGATATTTTTATTCATTGTAAAAATCGCAACACACTACCGACCGCAATTAACAAACTGGTTGACAGATCGTGCTCGTATTTGGCATAGTAATTAAGGAAGGTCCCACCAATTTAGCAAAGTACATTTGTGTCTAAATATCATTTATCTGGAGAAATTAATTACAATTGCCGGGTGCTTTTTTGTCACAATATATGTATAAATAAACAACATAATTAAGAAGTCTGGACCAGTCCGCAAATTGCCACAAGAAAGTGTGAAATGTTATACAAACACACATTATATAAATTAGAAACTTTTGCTCTCTTCGCTTTTTTGCTATTATTTTTTAAATCATTTATATATACCCACATATATGGATTTATATAAACATTTATATGTAAAAACGCATGCGAGCGATGCGATCACAGCGGGTGGCTTTTGTGGTTTTGTTGGTGACATTGAATAGTTTTCTAATGTTACCGACTCATTTGCCCGACTGCATGCATATTCAAGTGCTTTGAAACGCAATTTCCGCTACACGAAGGGGGGGCCCAAATGGGGTTGCACTGATATATGGTTGCGTATTAATATTTAAATCCAAGTATATGTATGTAGTGCTTTGCTTTTTCTTTCTTATTTCTGTGACTTATGGCATTTTTAAGCAACCCTTAAGAAAGTGAATTAGGTATAAAACATTAGGGGAAGGTTTGAAAAAAATATTAACTCAAATAGCAGTTACATACCCTGGGCGTTGGCTCAGGATGAAAATTGTTTAACAAAATACTAGTTAAATAACCCGGGAGTAGGCTGCACTATTTTTTTTTTTTTTGTAATTTTGATTTTTAATCATTAAAATTTTGGTTGTGCTGACAACTGCTGTGCTTTCGAGATCCTCTGCATATTATTTTATTTTTTGATTTTTTATTAAAAAAATTTCGTTAAGATCAAAATTTCTTAAAACTTAAAGTGTATTCGTTCCATAAATGCAAAGCCCTAATTTATTTGATATATATTTTTATACACACCAGTGTAGATAGCATTTCTTAAACGCTGCTTGCTTTCATGCTAGATTCCTTCCCGGCAAAAATGTGTAATTTTGTAATTTTTGCAATTTAATGCTATACATCTCCTGATAATAGCAATCCCATGAGCGTAGAGGGCATAACTCAGCTGGACTTCGTCGCCCCAAGGATAGTTATTTTAGCTTTCAGACGGTTTGAATAGTACAATGGAGGCATATTAAGGCACTAATGTGGATGTACACAATTATATACATATTTATAGGTATATGTGCCAATATATAATAGTAGCTGCATATACTATATGTACATACATACATGTATTACATATGTATGTATATTCTGTATGTGTTTTCTTCTTACTTCGCTATGGGCCGTTACGTATAATAGTACCGGTAGTGAAATGATCGATAAAGCCCATAATTTCCATTACATATGATACCGCTATTTCTATTTGTGCAGCCAACAACGCGTCTACACACATTTACACAAACCCTTTTGTAATCACTTTCCTTTGTTTTTCTTCACCATTCTAATGCACATTTGTACTCACCTTCTGCGAAAGCGCGCACTTTGTCGCCATTGCCACTGTGTTTTTCCGGATTTACTCTCTTCGTTTGTTCACCTTCTGCCAGTGAAATTAAATTACTGCTGAAAGCATTGAGTAGTTCTTCAATTGTTTTAGAAGCATTCTATGAAAAAATCAACAAAAAATATTTCATACTTCACTATAAGGAAAAAATCCAACTTAGAAATCTTAAATCTATATTTTTCAATCAACTAAAAATTCTTTTTTACACGAAGAGCGTAAAAATATACAAATTTTCCAAATAGGAAACGCGCAACGCCAACGAAACCAAAATCATCTGCAGTTAATTTCCAGTGAAAGAAAAATACAAAAAAAAAAAAAACAACATTACTCTGGTAATAACCAAAGTGTAGCCAACACCAGCAACAACAACAACTAAAGTAATCAACATAAAACAACAACAGCAGCAGCAACAGCTAGCGAAACGCTCAACAAGTGATTCCTTGGCTTTGGTAATTCACTTACGCAATTTTACTTCGGCACAAAGCTCGTCTGTTCGCTGAACTTCGCGGGTGAAAGGAAAAAGGGTAAACGTGCAAATCGTGCGTAGACTATAGAGGAGCAACACGCTTGATAAAAGAATAAATTTAATTTTCAAGGAAGCATAAATCAACAGGCAAAATGGTGAGTAATGAAAATAATGTTCGAAAATATGTTGAATTTGCTAAATTTACAGTTTAAAGCGCGGTGTTGTAAAAGCATATTTGTTGACATATTTTTTATTAGTCAAAAAATACAAACAATTTGATTTTCAAAGCAAAAGCAAGCAATTTGTTGTCATTTTTGTTTGGAAATTTTTCACAGTGCTTATTTGGAAACAAGTTTCACAGAAAGCCTTTTTGTATTTTTTATTTTTTTTTATATTGTCTATTGTTTTATTATTTTTTTATAGTCTTTTGTTCTTATTTTTCATACAGTCGTATGTGTTTGTGTTAATGGTCTGTTTTTATTGTTTTTATTGATTTTATGGACCTTGCAAATTTGCATGAGAATAGAAGCGTTGATTATGTGTCGAAATCAGCGATTGAATTGATTTTATTTCTATTTTAATTTATGAAAAATAAAAATAGAAATATAGATACAAATTTAAGGTAAGGTTACATTTGTCACAATTTTAATTTTTTAATTTTTTGAATAAAAAAACCAAAAACAAATAAAAA